CACTATTGTCAACATTATCATTGCCATCATCTTCTTCAACATTATTATTTACACCATCTTCATCATCTTCTCTATCTTCATTATCAACATCTTCAATAAAATCATCTACACTATCTTCACCATCTTCATCAATCCCACTATCACCATCAACCTCACCAGCACATCCCTCAATATCAACAACCTCTACATTATCTTCCACATCCTTACCATCATCAGCAAATTTGCAGCCTTCATCAACATCACCATCATCTTCACCACCATCATTAGCATCATCAACATCTTCAATAATATCATTTACACCATCATCTTTACCATCCTCAGCACCATCTTCATCAGTCCCACTATTGTCAACATCATCATCTTCTTCAACACTATCATTTACACCATCTTCACCAACATCACCATCCTCAGCCTCATCTTCATCAGTCCCACTATCATCATCATCATCAACCCAACCACAACTGCCCTCATTATCAGCAACTTCTACATCATCGTCCTCATCATTACCATCATCAGGAAATTCGCAGCCTTCATCACCATCCCCACCAACATTAACATCATCAATTACATCTTCAATACTATCATTTACACCATCTTCACCATCCTCTGCACCATCTTCATCTGTCCCACCATCATCATCATCAGTCCCACTATTGTCAACATCATCATCTTCTTCAACACTATCATTTACACCATCTTCACCATCCTCTGCACCATCTTCATCTGTCCCACCATCATCATCATCTTCACCTTCTTCGTCAATACCACTATCATCATTATCAACCCCACCATCACAGCCCTCATTTTCAGGAACCTCTAGATTATCTTTCTCATCCGTACAACCATCAACAAATTCACAGCCTAACTCACCATCCCCACTATCTTCATCACCAACATTAACATCTGCATCAACAACATATTCAACACTATCATCTACACCGTCATCATCATTGTCACCGTCACCATCATCTTCAGCACCACTATCATTACCATCATCATCAACCCTTCCAGCACAGCCCTCACTATCAACAACC